CACAAAACTTTCCTTCCATCCATAACTGCAAAGAGTAAAGTCAATTATGTAGTAAGAGGTGAGTGTTATCCTATGAAATCCTGAGATGGGACAGAGGGACACCTTTCATCAATAATGCAATAATTCAGAGGCTGGATAACAGGTTCAGCGCTGAATACCAGTTTTGGTAGTAAAATAGTAATTTTTTTATAGAGGTCTAAACATCAGACCGGAAAGAGGAGGAAGCAGTTGCTCAAATTAGGGACAGTTGAGAGCTGTGCAGTAGGTAGCAGTAAAATGCCTTCTAATGTTTCTTTAAAGTAATGTTGTCCTGAATGTGCTTTGGATCCTCTTTATGCAATCCCCAAATTAGTTGTGAGTGGATTGATGTGCCTGAGAATTTGACCTGGAATGGGCCATTTTGCAGTAGGTAAATGTTTGTCATGGATCTCCGATCCACTAAGGCCTCGAACTTCCAGAGGAACTCCAGCTTATGTAAGAACTGTGTGTACAGCAAGCAATTACATAAAAACATTCAAGAAGCTTGCTTGGAGCCTTTAGAGGACCATTCAGCTCCAGTTTAGAAATGTTAAATACATATCCTAATAAGAGTACTGGCTGTCTGTGAAATATTTGATGGAGGATGAGTTGAGAAGAGGGTTATTCTTACAAGTCTTGTCCAATACCCCTTGGAGTAACAAGGCAAGAGTAGCATTGGTGCCTGTGTAGTGTCAGGATGAAGCACACAGTCTGGACATTGCTAAGGGGGTTGGAGAGGTTCAGACCAGAACTTTGCAAAATGCTGGTTGACAAATCATTCACAGGGTCATGCAGCAGCAGAAGCCAAACTGTTGTTGGCCAAACAGAAGTCAGCTCACCCAAACCGCACCTAGCAGCCTCCATAGCAGCTCCTATCCGAAAAGAATGGGAAGAATACGGGGGCCGCATCAAACCCCAAAGCCGTCAGACATTTACGAAAAACCACCACAAACTGGAACCAAAACAACGCAGACCCATCCGCATGTACCAACAAAGACCTCCCCACATACACACGGACACAGCGCCACAAACTCCTCTACGGCACTCACCTGGCACAACCACACATCCTCACTGCGAGACAACACAACCCTCAACCTCTTCCCTTCTGGTCCGTTCTTGACCTGCATATAAGCAGGCTCATGGACCCACCATCCAAGGCCACATCACCCATCTGCAAACCACCACCCCTGCCTTGAGCTTGGCCCACAACCTCACTAATCCGCAAAGCCCCAAAAAAGGCCACCAAGAAAGCTGCCCGGAACAAAACCACCTTGTACTGTGACACACATGTCAACGCTAACTGGTCCTGGATCAAAAGCAACTGAGAAAAGGACACCGGGGGCCTGGAATCCAAACGCATACATCGCTTACAATAGCCCTTTACCGCCTGGCACACTAAAAACTTTTTAGTATGATCTGGCAACCCCCAGAGATCGCACACCCGAAGTCGCTCCCGATAGCCACCGGCAAAACACCCAAACCATCGGAATGATACAACTCGCAAAGTTCAACTTACCCAACAACGACTGAAGGTCCTGCAGCCGAATCTTCCGCCAGCGGCTGGCATCCGCCAATGCAGCCCGCAGGGCCACCAGCTTGTCCTGCAGTAACCGACACTCCATCCCCTCCACAGGTCAATCGGGATCCCCAAAAATTTAGCTCCATAGACGTCCCCTCAGTCTTGTTAGCCGCCATAGGAACCCCAAAGCGTTCCGCCACGTGCTGCAAAGTGGCCAGAAGCAACCTACAAACCCTGGACGCTGGTGGCCCTACACACAAAAAGTCATCCAAATAGTGAATAATGGACTCAACTCCAGTGACCTCCTGGACCACCCATTCCAGAAAAGTACTGAAGGTTTCAAAGTAAGCGCACGAAATAGAGCAGCCCTTAAGCAGGCAATGATCCAAGAAAAAAAACACCATCCAGTGACAACCCAACAGATGAAAACTCAGCGGATGAACGGGCAATAAGCGAAAAGCGGCCTCCACGTCCGAATTAGCCAACAAGGCCCCCCCGACCTTTCTAACGAACCCAAGAGATGGCCGCATCAAAGGATGCATATGTCACCGCGTAAACCTGAGGGTCAAGAGCTGCATTCACTCACAGAGGGTAGGAGAGATGGGGAATCAAACAAAACTTCCCAGGGTTCTTCTTGGGGACCACACCTAAAGGCGACACCACCAAATCCGGAAAAGGTGGGAAAGAAAAAAGGACCAACCATACGGCCCAAGGCTGAGAAGCTTGTCGCAAACCACCGAAGGATGATGAAGAGCCCGTCGCAAATTTTCCGCCACCCGAGGAACGCTAAGCAAGGAATAAGAAATCTGTCTGTAAACCCCTCCTCCAAGAGCCCCGCAGCCCTCCGAGCAGGGTATCTACTTAAGAATGGACACATCCATTCCACCCTCACCGGAGTCGTCCCTCTTACCAGCAGCATCCCTGTGATGTCCTTTAGGTCCTTTGAAACTCTGGGGACTGAGGGTGGGAACCTCCACATCCCGAACACTTATGTTTAAAATGGCAGGACCCCCTGAACCGACACGACCCTTCATTAAACTGCCAGCACAACCCCTTCTTCTTAAGGGCCGGTTGTGCAGAGGTAGAGGCACCACTGCCCCCCCCCCCCCCCCCCCAAACCCACCCCCCCCGACCAAGCCGACGAGTACGCCGTCCAAGTGCCCGTACTTACCGACTGCCGAATCAGCGCTGCGGAGACGCACACGCCACCCCCCCAAAGATGCCCGGGACTCACTCGAACAACCCACCCGCTCGGGACAACGTCATCAACCACATCCATAAACTGATATCATTATGATCCCACCAACGCTCAGGCCGATTGGCTTTACGTTGGTGAAATTGCTCTTTATAACAAAGCCACGCTACCCCACTGTAAACCTGATGTACCTCACTAATAATGTCCAGATAACAAAACAAAGCCGAACAATGCTCCAGCACCCGTTCGCCAACAACACTCGCTAACATAGCAAACGCCTGTACCCAATTACTAAAAGTATGCTACATCAATCGATACCTACACTACTCCTCCTCCTTCTTCTTGCTCTCGTCTGGCTTCACCCAATCCAAGTTAAACTTTTCCAGCGGCAGTAATGAAAAGAGCTCCACGTAGTCCCCTTTCCAAACCATCTCCTTCACCTTAGGCTTGAGGTGGGCCCCCAATGGGCCCTCAAAGCAAACATACACCTCACACTTAGCCCTAGCCACATCTGCCAAACGCACAGATGAGCCTCCTTCTCAACTCCTGCTATTGCCACTGATGATGCAGCTGCAGCAGGTTGAGAAACCGTCACAAAACAGCAGCCTGCCCAGCCGAAAACCTACCAGCAACCAAACCCCCTGCCAAACTCACCTGTGCTGAAGAGGGAGGGGCAAGCAACAACTCCGACACCGCTGGGACCCCCACAGACAGCCACGGTGCCAAAAGGAGAAGAGACCCCTTAAGATATGTGTTTAACATCTGCAAACTGGAGTTAAGGGGCTTCTTATAGACTTCAAACCAAAAGTTTGCTAAAAGCTCTGCAAATTCTTTGAAAAGCTTGCTGTACACCCTTTTATTATCCAATCTAAAGTCTATAAGGCTTGAGTAAACCAATCTGCTCATTGAACTGATACCGGGGTCTTTTTGGACCCCCTGGAGATTATTTGGGAAGTTCAAGCTCTGTCCCAGATTGGAGGTTCTTGCGTGTATGGGATCCCACTTTTATTGATTGACACAAGCGATGCTTCACTACTATACAACAATCCCCTAAATGTTCTAATAATTAAAGCATTATCCCTGTCACATCCCATTTCTTGTGCACCCTGTTACTGGTTTGGTACAAGCTAGCAGATTGCAAATTTCCACCCAGTGAAACACCATACATTGGATTTTAGCAATGTATGCCGCCATTTTACCACATACAGTGATATCTACTAATTTCCTTATTCCAGCAGCCACTTCCTATCTCCTAAATGTTGAGTGTGAGGGCCTTCCCTATAGTTGCACGAATGGTGTCAGGGTTGTAATAACAGAAAAACATCTAGGAATAGCTGTGAGCCAATCACATAAGCAGAAAATTATATTTTTGGGGAATGCCTTCCCCATTCAAAGAAGGCTGTTGTTGCCAGTTTTAGAAAATTGTAGTAATTCAAAAGGCATATTATAAAAGTAATTGGTTGGCGCCAAAACTTCTAAAAACCTTTTCTCTATGTTTGCCTCGCTCCAACACACCGCCTTAATTATTATATGCTAATTCATACAGCCAGGATTTTTTTTTTGCACTTAGTGAAACGTAATAATGAATCTTGATGTTTTATTGGGTTCCTATATTTTCTTGTTGGGGGGGGGGACATTTCAGTACAGCTGTAAATGCATCCAAAATGAACCTACAATGCATTGAAACTCCTGTATATACTGTATGCGTCTATTGGTTGTGCAAATGTAGCATGGAAAGTTAAACTACATAGTGGCCCACTGCAAGTGGCTGGATCGCACGAAAATAAAATGGCATGCATTAAATGCTTCCATGGAAACATTTTTTAGTTTTTTTCATCATTTGGATATTTTTCCGTGACGAAAACTAAATGAAAACGAAATACTAGAGCAGTTAACGGGACGAAAACGATGTTGAAAATGCGCCGCATTTTCATCGATGAACAAAAAATTCTGGGAACGAAAATTATTTCCCAGACTAGTGCATTTGGCTTTTGGTTCCCTGAGCACTTCCTGTAGTAGGGAGATGTGAACCAATAAACCTATTAGATTTTAGTTGACTAAAATCGACTTGAATTTCATTGACTAAAACTAGACTAAAAAAATATGAATCTGATGACTAAAATGCGACTAAAAATAAAAATACATTTTTGGCAAAAGACTAAGACTAAGACAAAAATGAAATTTGGTGTCAAAATAAACAGTGCCCAGAAGTCGTGTGAATTAGCCCCACTTAAATTCTCTAACAGAGTCAAATGCAATATTACTGACCTGCAGCAGACTGAAGGATGACCAGTAACCTAGCTGTGACCAGTAGAAACAGTGACCGTGGGGCCATTGAATGTGCTTTTTGAAAAAAGAAGGCACAGAATTAGTAACCTGGTCTTCTTATCTGTCTGCAGAACTTCTCTCTGTGTTTCACCAGCTCCAGTCTATAAACTTTGTCATCCCCCACACTGTACATGCTCTTATCCCCTGCAGACCCTCCCACTGGAGAAAAAAAGGGAAGGATGATATTTCTTGCAATGAGGCAACACAGGGAAGTGTTTGACAAACATCAGGTCATTGTGAAAGCTTAGCATACAAGCTTTGAGGTGTTCTTTCATGGTCCCCCGCAGGCAGAAAGACAAAAGCCTTCTACAGAAAAAGAGATTGCCATCAGCCAAAGCAAGACCAAGAAAACATAGTAACATAGTAGGTAAGGTTGAATAAAGACAAGGATCCACCTAGTTCTAGCATTTAAAAAATGTATTTATTTGTTATTTAACCACTTGCTGACCGGGGTGTTTATACCACCTTCCTGTGCAGACCATTTTTCAGTATTCAGCGCTGCAGCACTTTGACTGACATTTATTCTGTCATGCAACGCTGTACTGAAATTAATGTTATACCATTTTTTAGGGACAGATAGAGCTTTCTTTTGGTGGTATCACCACTACGGGTTGTTTTTTTTAAACTATATAATGCAAAAAGTACAGAAAATTTTGAAAAAAACGGATCTCCCTACGTTATGTTAAAAAACTAGGGCTGGTCATGATTAAAATTTTCCTGTTCGATTCATCAAATTTTTTTAAAATCGATTAATCGACTAATTTCGATTAATTATAACGCACATACAGAGGGGGGTCTCACCTCGGATCTCCGACGGAAGACCCGGAAGCCGTCGGAGAGGTGAGTACTTTGATCGATCAAAATTATTTTGATCGATGAAAGAAATTAACGATTAATCGACGGATTAATCGTTAATTTCCACACCCCTATAAAAACATTTATTATTAGCCAATTTTTTGGTAAAATATAAAAGACGGGGTCACGTCGGGTAAATAAACACCAAACATGTCAAGCTTTAAAATTGCACGCACCCGCTAAATTGCAAAAAACTACCATACCCAAAATCGACCATAGCCGACTCTTTAAAAGCTTTTACCGCTCAACAGTTTAGTGTTATCAGTGATTAATAGCCCTAGAATTATTGCTCTCACTGCGACGTTCGCAGCGATATGTAACATGTGCGGCGCAATGGATGTAATCGCCGTTTTCGCGTGTAGGCGGACTCGACGCATGTTTGCGTGTGCATGTGGGGGAGGGGGGCTTTAATTTTTTTTATTTTTTTATTGCTTTGATATGTGACTTTTAATTTTTTTATATTTTTTGTAACTTTCATTTTTTTAAACCTTTTTTTTTCCACTTAACTTTATTGCTATCACATAGGGAGCAAACAAGCTCCCTATGTGGTAGCCAATTTGCAGGTGGCAGGTCCTCTTTATGGAGACATCAGGGGTCTTTAAGACCCCTAATGTCATCTAGGGACCCTCAGAGAAGCTGATGAAGCACAGATCTGCTTCACCAGCTTCTCCCCGGTTTCTGTACCGGAGAGTGACAGAGGAATGCGGAAGTGATGTAATACACATCACTTCCTGCATTCCGAGGAGGAGATCAAACAGAGATGGTGTACTGAACTCCGTTTGATCTC